ATCAAATGTCAAAACCAATGTTTGGCCAAATGTTTTATTGAGTTACACGCATGAATAGTAATGAAATGGACAAAAATATTGACAGTTAGAACAATTAAGTATTGATTAAAATGCGTCGCTGCAACATTAAGTGGTGCGGCAGTAGAAAATTGGAAATCAACCGAATGTTACATTACACCGGCATGTGTTATTTTTCTGCGTATAAATCATACACTAGCCTAACTAAATATCTCATGTAATTAGACTCATTTAAGTAGTTTATTCATGTCTTGCCGAATTTTGCTTTGGTTACTTTAGATTGCCTGTTTGTTAGTATATTTTGATGATTGTTGATAACGATTATTTTGAGGTAGTGTTGTTCTTGTAAGCAGACATATTATCGATATTCTGTTATTAAAACAATTCACTACAAGTTTTGACTTACAAATAAATGGACGACGGGTCTAATACAAAAACCACGAAAAAAATGTCCCAAGCCAACCTATTTAAACGTAGTGACATGTAAAGGAATATGAAAAAGCTAAAACGTTGAATTTAAATTGTAATGTCATCGCAGTAGTGTCTAATTTTGCTTGCTTCGCTGTCAGTCGAACAAACGAAGACTAAAGCGTGAATGACGCTCTGTATACGATTTTAACGCCCTATAAGTTCGGACACTTTTTAGCGCGGACCCGACGTCCATATAATTGTAAGTCAATGACTACAAGGTTTTTATTATTTCATTATTATTTTTTTTAAAGTTTACCTACAAATGAAAAAGAAAGAAAGTATGGTTGGATATTATAGAACTGCCGAACATAAACACTGGATCAAATACCATCTTCGTTTGTTCGCTCCATTTTGAAGAGTCAAATTTTAATAAAACTTTGAATGTATAGTTACATGTATAGTTATGCATTACATGATAATGCAATTCCATCGTTACATTTATTGGTAAATAACTTTATATATAATTTTGATTAAAATGGCTCATTACTTGCCTAGTAATAATAGCCTAGTATCAATGATACTTTGATCGCAGTAAACTATACAAATTTGCAAACGTAAAAAGCAGTTTCAACATTCAAGCTATACATTTGCATGTCGATATTGACTTATCTATGATTATGGTACAACACTAAATCCGCCATTTGTGGTGAACATTTTTGGTTTAGGTAGGGACGTTTATTCCTTAGATAGGGCAGCTCCTTTCCTTTGTTTTTTCCATCCTCTAAGGGTGCGGTACAGTTCTTAAGAGTAAGCCAATTACAAATATCCACATCACTTAACAAATATTTAGACTTTATTATACCAAGTATATGAAATAATATATCATTTTCTTGCAAGGTAATTTTTGAATCTAGTAAGCTCATTTGTATAATTTCGTAGTCTGGTAATTTTATAATAAAAGAACATTATAAATTTCCAAAAAAAAGAAACTGGTTCTAATTTTATTCCGTGGATTTATCTTGCGAAGTAATTTTTGAATGGAATTTAATATAATAATACAAAATACCTATTCAATTTTGTATCTAAGTGACTAGTATTTGTATACATACATATATACTTGCCATTATTTGAAAAGTCGTGCCCACCAATTTGGATTTAGAAATGAGTTCCATATTCGTAATGAGCACCCGCAAATATCTCGAAAATGATACTCATATTCATTGACTTACAAATAAATGGACGACGGGTCTAATACAAAAACCACGAAAAAAATGTCCCAAGTCAACCTATTCGAAATTTAAATTGTTATGTCATCGCAGTATCGCGCTGTCCGTAGAACAAATGAAGACTAAAGCGGAGTGTCGCGCTCTGTATACGATTTTAGCGCCTTACAAGTGCGGACACTTTTTAGCGCGGACCCGACGTCCATATAATTGTAAGTCAATGCTCATATTGCATTTATTTGAAAAGTCGCGTCCGCCATCTTGGATTTAGAAATAAATGCCATATTCGTAATAAGCACTCTCAAACACCTCGGAAACGATACATATAATTATTTATTTTATTTGAAAAGTCCGGTCCGCCATCGGAATGACTCCATGAAATATTTAACGTAAATGTCGCAACCGATGGTTTGTCCCGAACGAGTGTATGACAGTTCGGGCTCGCATCCGCCTTTATTATTACATTACCTGTGGTATTATTATAAGCTTGTAATAAATTGTGCAATTGCGCTGCACAACGCGGCAGAATACAATATTTTATGCCTTAAATAAATCATGTTAACATTTTCATTCCTCCCGTTTGTAGGTCACGTAGACTACTACCCTAATGCCGGCGCCCAGCAGCCCAACTGCTTCTTCCAAACTTGCAGCCACAGCCGAGCGTGGTTGTACTATGCGGAGTCTGTGGTCGACCCGAAGGCCTTCCCGGCTTTGAAATGCAACGACTGGGACTCATTCAAGATTGGCAATTGCTCGCAGGATGTTACTTACATAAGGTACCTCGCCTTTTTTAAAGTGTAGTGACACGCAAAATATCCCTTTTGCCGTATTTCGACGTCGGAAAATCGGTTTTTACACGTTAAAACATACAAATTCAAATCTTGTTTTTGTAATTGATAATGAAAACAGATTATTTATTAATACAAAGATCGAACACTAAGAAAAAATTCCTGCAATCCGGCTGGATTCGAACCAATGCGTTCCAGCAAACCGTGCCGGACGCTGTGCCAACTCAGGGCGCGTTCACATTAGGTCGTAACGTTTCATTTATCGTTGGACGACTGTCGCGTGTAGCCTGTTCCCATATTACTAC